TCTGGGAAATGGGACCTTCCAAGGGCAGGCTCGATGCTAAGGTCTTGACCCCACAGCAAGTTCTTTGGGGAAGTGACGATTAATCCCATTGCACAGACACGGAAACTGAGCCTGAGGAAGACAGGGCTGCACAGCGAATTAGGGGCCGAGGCAGGATGCCAAGCCAGCCCACCAGATGTCGACAACCAACCTTCTAAGGTCAAGGGCTGGGTGTGCCAGCACAGAGACACAACATCAACCTGCCTGTGTGCCCTCGGACAGTTTTCTCCTTCCCTGGGACTCAGTCTCTCCAGCTGTACACAGGGGATGCCCCACACAGTGATTTCTCAAGCACTGCAGTTCTGGATGGAACCATTTCTTCAAATGAGATCTTATCTTGAAGCCTGATTTCATGGGCAGATAAGACGTTGGGCCCTGAGAGCTGGGTGGCTCTGTGCAAACCACACACAGGATTCAAAGCCACGTTCAGCAAGACGGGCCACTAGGAAATAAAGCAGGCCACAGATGCAAAAGCGTGCAGCCGCTTAAAAAAGAAAGCAGAGGGGCGTCTGGGTGGCTCAGTCGGTTGAGCCTCCGACTTCGGCCCGGGTCATGATGTCACAGCTCCTGAGTTCGAACCCCGCGTCGGGCTCTGTGCCGACAGCTCGGAGCCTGGAGCCTGCTTGGGATTCTGTCTCCCTCTCTCTCTGCCCCTCCCCCACTTGCTTTCTGTCTCTCTCTCAAAAATAAACAAAGATTAAAAAATTTTTAATAAAAAAATAGTAAAATAAAATCTCTTGTTAAAGATAGTTTTAAAAAGTGTTTTTATTTTTTTTTTGAGAGAGAGAGAGTGAGGGGGAGGGGCAGACAGACAGGGAGACGGCGGATCCCAAGCAGGCTCTGCCCCGACAGCAGAGAGCCCAATGTGGGGCTCGAACACGCGAACCGCGAGATCATGACCTGAGCTGAAGCTGGCCGCTTAACCAACTGGGCCACCCAGGCGCCCCAAAAATAACATCTTAAAAAAGAAAAAAAACAAGCAGAGACGTCAGAGATGTGACAGCACGGAAACATGGCCTCAATGTATCACTGAGGCGGAAATCGGCCGGCAGAGAGGCGACTGGCTGGGCGCAAATCCCAGCTCGGCTTCCCATTGGCTCTGAGACCTCGGGCAGGTTACGCAACCTGTCGCACGCTCAACCCGTGTCCCGTGTCCCGTGTGAAACGGGGATCATCGCAACAGTGCCCGCCTCCTAGGGTTGTGGGGAAGATACAGCGAGCTGCGGACGCTTAGCCGGACGCGGGGCCCGGCGCGCGGTGAGCCCACGTTCGTGCAGGGAAATGCAGAAACGCACAGCATGTCCCTGAGTTTCCCCCCACTCGGCACTGTGGGGGCTGAGCAGCGACCCTGGCCCCGCCCACTCGATGCCAGGCGTACCCCTAGTCGTGAGAGCCACAGACGTCCCCAGACACGGGCTGGTGTCCCCTGGGGGCGGGATCTCTTGTGCGACAACGGCCACTTCCTCATACCCCTTCCCTCTCTGGCAATTATGTTCCCACCACGGAGCCTCTGCTGCCTCGAACTTGTGTCTGTGTGTGTGTGACACGTGTTACACTGGAAGGAGGCGCTGCAAAACGACTGGGGTCGTTGAGGAGACTTGGATGGGAGGGGGCTCGGGGCAAGGGTCAGGGGGTCACGGTCCCTTTACGGGGTTGAAAAGTCACGTGCCCACCCAGAACCTCACTAGGAGACCTTATCTGAAAGTAGGGTTTTTGCAGAAGTGATTAATTGCGATGAGGGCATAGTGGGTTGGGATAGGCCCTAATGCAATGGGACTACGGTCCTGTTTTTTCAGTTTTTTTAATGTTTGTTTATTTTTGAGAGAGACAGGGGGCAAGCGGGGGAGGGGCAGAGAGAGAGGGAGACACAGAATCCGAAGCAGCTCCAGGCTCTGAGCCATCAGCACAGAGCCTGACGCGGGGCTCGAACTCACGGACCACGAGATCGTGACCTGAGCTGAAGTCGGACGCTTCACCGACTGAGCCACCCAGGAGCCCCACAATTGTCTTACGTTAAACAAACAAGGCAAGTTGGCAACTGGCAGCATTTATCGCAAACTTAACCTCCGCCTGGGCAAAGGCATTTACAGCTGAGTATTCTCTGGGCATTCTCTTCTCCGACCCAAAGGTGAGAAAGGGCCACACTGTGTTAAACAGACAGGGCCCAGGGCGGGGACGTAAACTGGTACCACTGTCACCTGTACTTAAACATACACGAACATACGTGTCACACATAACAGAGACACGGGGATCGAGAGGCCCATCTCTAGGCCCAGCGAAGACTGAGGGTCCCCGCCGCTGTTCTCAAGATCTGTGCCTCAAGCTTCGCATCTGGGAAATGGGACCTTCTAAGGGCAGAAGCCATGTGGTCGTGACAACCACAGATGTCCCCAGACACTGCCCAGTGTCCCCGGCGGCAGGGGGTGGGAGTGGGGGCCTGGTGCAAGCTGAGATGAGCTCTAAGAGCGAAACGCATTTGGATCGTGGAGATTTAGCACAATAAAAAGGACATAAAACATACCATTAGTAGTTTTCATGTCGATTATACGTTGAAATATTCTGGATACATGACGTTAAGTAAAATATACTATCGGAATTCATCTCATCTGTTTAACTTTTTTTT